TTTGAGACTGTTGATGTTGTTCATGTCAATTTCCCTGGGCGTTTCAGATGGCCAAATTGATTCAAACCCAGTCAAACCCGGCATTTGCGGTCATCTTCGTCTTTGTCAGGGAGGCGAAGATTCAAGGTCTCAGGCTTCAATCTGCCAGCTGGCGCGGTGTCTGGATCTGGTCATCAACGCGAATAGGCCCTCGAGGAGAGATGGTGGGCAAGGTCTTCAAGTACGATGTGTCTAGGAAGGGGATGGGCAAGAAATGGGGGAGGTGGGAGATTATGCAGAGGAAGACGGTTACCAGCACATTCCGACGGGTATTGAAGCCCAATGCCCTGGTCCTGGCAGGTCAGCCCGAAGGTTATTGGCGACGTTGCCACACCCCGAGGCCAGCCGTGGACCAGATTGAAGGGCACGGGGTCGCCCTCCCTGGCACCTCGAGGGCTTACATGGTCCTTGCTCAGTCTTGGAACTTCGACAAGATAGTCCAAGCCGACGCTCAACATTGGGACCTGAGACGGGTAAGACAGGAGTTTCCATGCCTGGTGCGTCTATTTCCAATGCCATTCACGTATACTGAATATATTGTCAGGAGATCACGAGCGATCTTGGGCGGGACTTCATGACCGCGCCCTATGCATCACCCCAAGCCCTCACATCCTTCACCGGGGAGCTGGTTAAGTCCCAGGTCATGGCTTGGAAGGGCTTCTCGGCGGTATCAACTTATCCCCCCACATCTCCCAACTTCTTTGCGAGCGACACCGGTCGCAACTCGGTTCTCTTAAACTTCCTCCACCACCACCTCCCCGGTTATCCCCAGGTTCCGATCCACATCTCCAACACCGATCCCGTTGTACAACACCTCCGCACCAATGCCGAAGACCTTGGGATTGCGTCGGAGGACATAGTGCGTCGGATGGTGCTTAAGTGCGTGGACACATTGACATCCGGGGCCACTGCCACCGCAGGTGATTGCTTGCGAGACATGCTAAAACAGAGGGATGTAAGGGGCACATGGATTCAAGGGCCGTATGATTACTAGACAACTCGCATAGTGGGATATTTTTGATGTCAATGTATCTCAAATCACTCCTCAACCACTTTGGGCGGCGGCCTCGCGCGCCCGCCAGTTGAGGGGCCTTGGAGGCCAGCGCCAAACCAACCTCGCTCTTTTACGATGGACTCCATTACCCTACCACTCGCAACACCAGCACTGGAGGATAGGAGTAGAGAGCGAGCTCAACAGCGATTCCCTGCGTTTCTGACTGCGTCCTGCGTTTACTGCGTTGCGAATAGATCACTGCGTTCACCTTCAACGAGCACCGTGTTTCCTTCTGGCTCTGTGCGTTTCATCCGGCTTCAACGGGTTTCTACGCGTTCATTCCGAGTCTCTGCGTTGTGGGACGACTCCACCACCCTCCTCCGACCACGTTACAGTGCCGCTACGAGTGTCTGAGCTCGTACGTCCCCTCCGGGCCCGAATCGTCACATCCCCTTCCCATCCGCTTGCCAACAGCCCCCGCTCGTCGTTTCTACTGACACCATCGATTCCTTCTGGTCTCTTTCCGACCCGGGAGACTCGCAACCTACACAACTGGAGCCCACCGCGAGGGGGTATAGCTTGTTGGTAAAACTCATCGACACCCTCTGGTGACTCGTCACGCTGCCTCCCAGGCAACCGCGTAACAACGACCAGCCGTCGATCCCCACAAGGCAGCAGCCGCCGCGCGGACCAAAGCAAAACCTCTTACAGGAGGTCGCCGTTGCACAGTACTCTCCGGACACACCGTTCAACATCACCCTGCCCGCGCCAGCGTTAGAAGCCATACCCCCGCACCGTTCCGAAGACAGCGACGGAGAGTATTCATTCTTCGAGGCCGTAGAAGCACCCCGTTCCCCTGCCACGTCATCATCGAGCGACTCGATCCCGCTAGCCGTCACCACCCGGAGGAGAGCCCTATCGCTTCCCTCCGACAGCAAGTCAACGGCGCCCGTCGTTAAGCTCGAGCAGACCCCCATTCCGATACCCGAATCTCGTGCCCCGTCATCATCTACCCTCTCCTCATCAGACCTTCCTCCGCGTCCCACCGAAACAATGGCCGCACCACCAGTACGTTCCATGCCCGTCCGTGGCGATCGCGCTGCTCCGACCTTTGACGGTCAACCTCGTTCCCTCCGACGCTACTTTGAAGACCTCGCTGAACTCTTTGCCATCGCTAGCGTCGAGGACGACGCCCGGAAGGTATACTACGCGAAGCGTTACCTCAAGCCGGACCAGTCCGAGCTATGGGACGAGGTCGAGGTACCTACGCCGGTGTCGTTCGACGAATACAAGAAGAGCATCATGGCCCTGTACCCCGGGTCGGATGGTACGTCCCGTTACCTGGTCAGCAACCTTGAAGCCGCGTTGGCCACAGCAAGGGCGGAGGGTACCGCTACACGTTCCAGCGAAGCAGAGTACTACCGCAAGTTCCTTCCGGTCGCCAAGTACCTAAAGAAGAATGGCCGCGTATCCGATTCACAGGTCTTCAAGGTCTACATGGCTGGATTCACGGACGCATCCGCCGAGGCCATCCGCCGTCGCGTCGAGATACGCAATCCGACCGTCGATCCGGTGGACGGATACACCCTGGAGCAGGTGCACGATGCCGCGCAGCAATGCCTTGACGCGGTCAGCTACGGAGGGGCGGCCGGAGCGAGCAGTACAGGTGGGGGGAGCACCGGAGCGAGCGGTACGGACGGAGTAAAGACTGAGCCCGTCGACGAAGCCATGCTGGGGCGTGTGTTCGCTGCAGCTATGAGTATGATGAAGGGTGGAGGAGGAGGATATGGAGGAGGGGCGCCGGCCACCGGAGGCCAAGGATATGGAGGACCGCCGCCAGCACAGACAACCGGAGGATACGGTCAGGCCGGGACCGGAGGATACGACTATAGCCAGGGAGGCGGACACGGAGGGGGATACGACCGTGGTGGAGCGAGCTATGCACCCAGCTCGGACCAGTGCAACTTCTGCGGCGAGCACGGTCACTATATGAGGACCTGCCAGCACCGTCGCCGGTACGTCGAGATGGGCAAAATCTACATGGACGGAGAGAACCACGTGCGTTTGCCAAACGGGTCGTACGTCCCGAGGAACCTTGCGGGTCAGTGGGTGATGAACCACGTCGACACCTGGTGGTCATTGAACGAGAACAACGTGTCTTCCTCCGGGGCCACGGACGGAATGACGAGGGACGCGCCGCCCCACCTGTCTGCCAACATCGTGGAGATATCGTCAGAGTACAGTTACGAGCAAGCAGCGGAACAGCGAGACGTGTATACGGAGGAACGGGCCCGCGAGCTCGAAGAAAAAGCCCAAGTATTGGTGCAGAGGCAGCACGCGTACGTGGAGGAGCGAAGAAGGTCAGATTCGAGGAGGAACACGGAGGGAAAAGTACGGCCAGTGGGCTGAAGGGAGCGAGCGGCAAGCCTCCGGGCATCCCAGCGAAGAGCATCCCCGTCGACGGAGGGAAGACTGGCGCCGCGAAGGATACCGGAAAGGGACCCGGAGCGAAGGACGGAGGGAAGCCGCGTGCGAGCGAGCCGCAGTACCGTTACTCAACGAAGATTAACGGCAGTAAGGATCCGGTAGAGAAGGCGGAGGAGCTCGTGAAGCGTATGTTCTACGGAGGAGAGCGAGCGGCATGGGGAGAGGTTGCCGAAGTCAGCCAGGAGTTCCGCCGCACAACGGTGGACCAGTGCAAGGTGCAGCGCGTCCTGGTCGCCAACAGCCTTGAGGAGGCGGATGAGAGCTTCCTTGTCGATAGGGAAGTGTTCCTCGGAGGGGAGCGTGAGCTGCCGAACGTCGGAAGCTGGGACTCACTGAGCCTGCAGTGGTACGCCCTACCGTGAATGGGGAGGCCGACATCGAGGGAGTCCTGGACTCCGGGTGCCAGATGACCATCATCCGGAAGGATCTGTGGCTAAGCTCGGAGGTACGTTGCGTCCGGACAGGGCTGCATCATGGAAACCGCGAACCGGTCTAAGGTCCAGACGGTCGGCAAGGCCATGAACGTGCGGTTCTCCTTTGACGACGAGGTCGAAGTGATGCTGAACGCGCAGATCGTCGAGGTCGCGCCGTTCGAGGTACTGCTTGGGAGACCGTTCTTCGCCGCTACGCAGTGCGAGACGAAGGACTTCCCGGACGGTAACCAGACCATCGTCTTGACGGACCCGAAGAGCGGACGCCGCGTCATGGTGCCTACGTACGAGCGCGTTGCCCAGGGACCTGGCCGGAAGGAACGAAACGTGCGCGATGACGCCTCCAACGAGGATTTTTAATTGTCGATGATGCAAGCATTGCGAGCGGAGACGATCTAGTGAGCCATTTCTCATGTACGTCTGGGACGGAGGGGACGGAAGGAAGGAGGAGGTCCCTGATGCCAGACGGAAGGAGCACAGGTCGTCGGCCCTCGCCGCAGATACCCATACCCCGTCATGTACAAAGTACGAAGAGCGTAGCGGCGAAATACACAATAGTGTTGCTCAGTACCACGGGGAGGACTGCGGTGAGATACCCGACAAGCCTGAAGAGGACGACGACGAGTTTGCAATTGAGGAAGGAGCTGAGGCCCAGGTCCTGGCGTACAAGAAGGTCGCCCGGAAGGTACGGCCTGTAGCAACGACACTGCCGGAGGAGTTCAGGGTAGTCCGGAGGGAAGCTAAGGACGCGTTAGTAGGGATGCCGGTGCTGCCAGCAAAACCGCCTGAGTTCGTTCCGACCGGAAGGTACACACAGGAGCGAAGAGACACGTTAAATGTCGGAGGGAACGGGTTCCTTACGGAAGAAGAGACAAAACTGGTAGACTGGCTGGTCGCACGGCACAATGGGTATTCGCATGGGACGAGACGGAGAAGGGCCGACTCAAGGACGAGTACTTCGATCCGGTGGTCATTCCGACTATTGAGCACGTCCCCTGGGTGCTGAGGAACATACCGATCCCGCCCGGCATATACGACAAGGTCGTACGGATCATCAAGGACAAGATCGCGTCTGGAGTGTACGAACCCTCGAGCTCGTCCTACAGATCGCGCTGGTTCTGTGTGGTAAAGAAGGATGGAAAGTCCCTCCGGTTAGTACACGATCTACAGCCTCTCAACGCGGTGACGATCAAGGACGCTGTGGTCCCTCCGTTCGTCGAGCATCTGGCGGAATCCTTCGAAGGGATAGCATGCTACGGTTCCCTGGACCTGTTTGTGGCCTTCGACCAGCGTACCCTGGATGCGAGGTCCCGAGACCTTACGACATTCCAGTCTCCGTTAGGAGCCATGCGACTCACGTCGGTGCCGATGGGCTGGACGAACGTGCTGCAGATTGTACACGGGGACGTCACGTTCATCATGAAAGACGAGATCCCGGAGGTAACGGTTCCGTTCGCAGACGACATCAACGCGAAAGGTCCCAAGACCCGGTACGAGCTCCCGGACAGAGGGTATGAGACGATCCCGGAGAACTCTGGTATACGGTGATTCGTCTGGGAACACCTGCAGAACATGAACCAGATCCTGCAACGGATGGGCGCGGTCGGCGGGACGTTCTCCGGAAAGAAAGCCTACATGTGCATCCCGGATGTAGTCGTACTCGGACACAAGTGTACGTACACCGGAAGGGAGCCGGACGAGGGACGAGTGCAGAAGATCCGCGACTGGCCGGCATGCGAGACCATCACGGACGTGCGGGCATTCCTAGGGACGATGGGACTGGTCAGGATCTTTGTCAAGGACTTCGCCAGAATCGCCCGGCCATTGACACGGTTGACGCGCAAGGATGTCAAGTTCATGTGGGGACCGGAGGAAGCGGATGCGATGCAAATCCTCAAGGACGCGCTAATCAACTCGCCGGCACTCCTTCCGATTGACTACTCAGCGGACAGAACGGTGATACTTGCGGTAGACTCGTCCGTGATAGGCGTAGGGTTCGTACTCCTACAGGTGAACACCGGAGGGAAGCAAA